GGGCGCAGGAGGTGACGGAGCCCTCATGAGAGCCCCCAGCAGGTGAGGCCGCGGGGCCCGCCGGGACCCCTCCCTGCATGGCCCGAGAGCTGTGGAGGGAGCGAAGGGGGGTCCGGGAGTGGGGGTCCCCTCAGCATCCCCAGCCTTTGCACGATGAAACCCCTCAGCATCAGCACGCCGGCCGTGGCCTGGGCTCCCCGGGCAGGCTGGTGCCTTCTGGCGCCACCACCGGCCCTGAGAGCCCTTCGAGGTGTCAGCTCCCCCCAGGGGTTGATCTCAAGCTGTTGCATAATTTTCCTTGCGACAATTAGTAAAGAGGTTTCAGTGGTTTTTAATTTCCATTTGCTTGGAGCGCTGCAGGAATGGCTGGGACTCACTAACCAGGGCTCCCAAAACTAAACTGGGTCAGTCCACTTGGAGTGGAAGATGGAGTGGGTCCCGGGGCTGGAGAGATCCCTGCAGGCTTGCTGGATGCAATCCCATGCGTGCACTGTGTGGGGCAGGTCTCACTTCCTTCCATTCCCTTCTGATCCAAGGCTCCTGTGGCGGTGGTTTTAATGGAATTTCACTGCACGAGCAGCAGGTTGACCCTCCCTAACCCTGCGGTTTGAGTGGTTTCATCCCCACGAGGGGAGGATAATCCTCCCTGGACCCAGCTTAACGTGGGGATTCCCCAGGCACAAGCTTCGGCTGGCTTTGGCTCTTCCACACCTCGGAGTCTGCCCAGCCTCTGTCAACAGCGTTTCTTTTCCCCTCATAAATTCCGGGGGATTGCTCTCCTCTTCAGAGGGGGACCTGGTGACTCGTCCTGTGTACCTGTACCTCCACCTGGGGACAATGGGCCAGGCTGGGGGTGACCACATGCCTTGCAGGTGCCAGGCTGGGGGTGACCACATGCCTTGCAGGTGCCAGGCTGGGGGTGACCACATGCCTTGCAGGTGCCAGGCTGGGGGTGACCACATGCCTTGCAGGTGCTCGCGGGACGCCGGCAATCGCTGTGTGCTGAGGCTGGCACAGAGACATGAGTGGCAGCACGGTGAGTGCCACAGAATCACCTCGGGGACCTCCTGGGACAGCAGGCAATCCTGCTGGAGATGCCTTGGGAGAGGGGTGGATGCACCCCCGTGGGGTGGGGGCAGCGGCTGACGCTGTCCCCCCGCCCGCAGAGCCAGCGCGCCGCCGCCCTGGGGGTCCTCTTTGCCCTGATCATGTTGCTGATCATCTACAGCTCCGGCAACGGGAGCGAGGTCTTCCCCTACAGCCGCCTGCGGGGCAGAGCCCGCCGGCCCCCCGACCTCAAGAAGTGGGGGGTGAAAAGCGGGTACCTGCCCGTCTGCGGGAACAAGGTACGGGCTGGGCACAGGGCTGGGCCTGGGCGGTGACACAGGGGCTGTCCCTCTGCTGGCATCCAGCCGAACTGTCCCCTCCCGAGGACAGCGGCTCCGCAGGGAACAGTACCCTGTCCACGGTGATACCAAAAGTCACCTGCTGACCATGCACTTGTCATCGCCAGACCCTGACTGCCCGCTGCCACCAATGCGTCATTGTCACCAGCTCCAGCCACCTCCTGGGCACCCACCTGGGCACGGCCATCGACGGGGCTGAGTGCACCATCCGCATGAACGATGCTCCCACCACAGGCTACAATGCTGATGTGGGCAACAAGACCAGCTTCCGCGTGGTGGCCCACTCCAGCCTCTACCGTGTCCTCAAGCGGCCCCAGGAGTTCGTCAACAAGACCCCAGAGACCATCTTCATCTTCTGGGGGCCGCCCACCAAGATGCAGAAGAGCCTCCTGAAGATCATCCAGCGTGTCTGCGCCTCGTTCCCCAACATGACAGCCTACGTTGTGTCCCCCGGCCGCATGAAGCAGTTTGATGACCTGTTCCGAGGAGAGACAGGGAAGGACAGGTACCTCAGAGCCACCTCTCGTGCTGTGTCCCCCTTTCTCCAGGTTCCCAAGACAGAGCTGACTCTTGGAGCTGCTTCATGGGCTGCAGCATTGAGCTGGGAGTCCCTGAGGCACGCTGGGCACACTGAGGGGGTCCATTATCCACATCACCTCACCCCTGTCATCCTTCCTGTTGTTTCTCCTCCCCAGGGAGAAGTCTCGCTCGTGGCTCAGCACTGGCTGGTTCACCATGGTGATCGCGGTGGAGCTGTGCGACGCCATCCACGTCTACGGCATGGTGCCACCCAGCTACTGCGGGTGAGGAGACCCCCAGGCCCCCACCCCAGCGCCCTGACCCCACCGTGGGGCTCACCCCGTGTTTCTTTCCCCACTGCAGCCGCCACCCCCCACCCCGGCGCCTGCCCTACCACTACTACGAGCCCAAGGGCCCTGACGAGTGCACAACCTACATCCACAACGAGCGGAGCCGCCGGGGCAACCACCACCGCTTCATCACTGAGAAGAGGGTCTTTGCCAGCTGGGCCGGCCTCTACAACATCACCTTCTCCCACCCCACCTGGACCTAGGGGCTGCCCCACGCCTGCTGGGCAGACCCCTGCAGCTGGGATGGATGGGGGTTCCCCTGCATCCCCCTGGGAGTGGTGGGATTCATGGTCCTCCCACAGGCCCACTGCTGTTGTGCATGGTGGCTCCTTGCCCCTGGGATGTGTTGGGTTTTGAGCTGGTTTATGGGGACCAGGTGGTGAATGTAAGATTTGGGGTGTCCCCCATCCATGTGCAGGACACTTGGGAGTGATATCCTGCCCCATCCTGGTCCATGCACATTGCAGCCCCTGTGAGGCTGTAAGGGGGTTCCAAGTCCCCTCAGCTCAGCTTTGGGGTCACCACAGTGACTTTCCCCCAACCATCTGGGTGAGGAGACCCACTCTTGGAGCTCAGCCCCCCTGCCATCCCCAGCCCCTCATCCCCATCCTCAGTCATCCTTCCCACAGCAGAACCCCACAGTTCTTGGTGGGACCCCACAGGGGTGACATTACCACCCTCCCTGTCCCAGCACCCCAAAAACACCAGCCCCTCCCGGCACTGCTGCGCCCCACACTGCCAAAACCTTTTCTAACTGGAAGATGGGATTTTTTGGATATTTTAGGGTGTTTTGGCTTTTTTTCTCCCCACTTCTAATCCTGGGGTTTCTACTTGGGTTTCCTGGATGAAGGAGTGAGCAGGGGCTGCTCATTACTGGAAGCAAAGGGCCAGCAGCTGCCTGTGAACAATTTAGAAGTGGGCAGGTAGTGGGGGGAAGTGGTGCCTGGTGGCACCCTGTGGCTAGGACAGGATTTTATTATTAATTTCTCAGCAGCAGAGAAGTTGATCTGGGGAAAGCACCTAAATTTGGTGTGTTTGGGTGCTGAGCCTTGGCAGGAATCCATTCCTCAGTTTCCCTCTGGCTGTGGCTGGGGTTTTGGGGGGCTGGGTGCTGGGGGAAGCATGGGGCACCCGTGTTTTGTAATTGTTTGTACAGGAATAAATATTGCTGCAGTCTGGTACCTTGAGCCCTGGCTCTGGATGGGTTTTTGGGGATGATGGCAGTGACCCCCAGCAATACTGGTCCCTGGGCACTCAGGGGGTGCAGCAAGGTGACCAGCATGTCCAGCTGGGATCCATGTCCAGTCCCTGACTGACTCCAGCTCCGACAGTGACAGGTGACAGCTGAGACCTCCCCAGCTTGTGTCACCCTCAGCCAGGTGCCCTGGGGTCACAGAGTCTTGGGAGGGGGTCTCTGCAGCCACAGAGGAGGAGGAAGGGCAGGTAAGGACTGGGAGGTCACCACTGCCTGTCTCAAAGTCTGGTGGCACAGAAGGACTTTGCCATGAGATGGACACAGAAGGCAGCAGCACGGTGGCACTGGCTCTGGGCCTGGTCTGGCACATCCTGGGTAACACATCCGGACAAGCTGTGGAGGGGTGGCTGCTCATACACATAGCACTGCTCAAACAGATCACCCCAACTTATGGGATAGACAGCAAACCAACAACCAAAGCTCCTCTTCCCACTGCTGAATTCATAAGAGAAATTTGAGATAAGGTGGCACTGTTGTCCGAGCATTATCTCAGATTAGGGGTGGTAAACAAAACTGAGGGAGAAGAATGTGTCACTGATAACACAAAGAATCCACAAGGAAAGCCAGCCAGGTAAGTGGTGGATGGGATCAGCTCCAGCTGGGTGGAAGGCAAATCTGGCAGGGGGAGATCACACCCACGGACTAGGCTGGAAGAGAAAGACTGAGCATGGGATTAATTAGCATTAGAAGAGAGGGAATCACTTAACCAATGGAATAAAGGAACTGTGTGGCCAATGAGCATTAATGCCTTTATTTGCAAAAATGTATAAATAGTGAGAAGTTTTTAACAGCCTCGGGACCCCCACCACCAGGAAGACCAGGGTGAGGAAGGACCAACAGGATGCTGAGGGATCCAGGGGTGGTGACAATCTTCCGCTTGACTGATCTCCCTCTCTCCCACCCACACACAATCCCTCTTTTCTATTTATTTCTCTACCTCACATTTTATTGTTAAATAAAATCTGTACTATTGGCTTTGGCATCCGGCATCTCTCACTGAGCAGATGTTAACAAGGACACACCCCCGGGGTTTTACACCCCTGGAGCTGAGGGAGAGGGGTGTGTAAGCTGGGAGTGGGGACATAGGGATGGGATGGGGACATAAGGACATTAGGGACAAGGATGGTGACAGTAGGGATGGGATGGGAATGGGAGCATGGGGATTGGATGGGGACATTAGGGATGGACATAGGGACGGGGGTATGAGGGTATTAGGGACAAGGATGGGGACATTAGGGACAGGAATGGGGACTAAGGAGAGGTATGGGGACATGAGACCGGAATGGGGGCAGAAAAGGGGAGGCGGCATGAGGACGGTGACACGAAAAGCATTCCCGTCCGAGGAGCTGGGGGAGCGGGGCGCCCCGGAGACCCCAGAGCCGGCAGGGTGGGGGCTCCCCCGCACCCCCGAGCCGTGCGGGTTTCACCGCGTCCTCGCGGCGCCGGCTGCGCGGGCACCGCCGCCCGCCCCCGTGTCCCCGCCCGGCGGCGGGGCCGGGTCGGTGCGGGACCCCGGGGGCCAGGTGGGTGCGGGACCCGCGGGGCCGGGCCGGTGCGGGACCTCGGGGGCCCGGGCGGGCACCGTGCCAGCGGCGGGCCCGGGCAGCGCGGGGGGCTTTGCTTGGCGAGGCGAGGGGTGGCGGGGCCCTGCGGGGCTGCTGGAGCAGCCCGGGCCCGGGGCTCGGGTCCCGGGGAGGGGCTGCGGCGCGCTGGCCGCCGATGGAAGGGGAGCGGTGCGCTGGAGCTGGCGGGGGGCTGAGATCGCGGGGGGCACCCCCCAGGGGCCTGGGCTGGGCAGTCACAAGGCCACCCTGAGCCCCCTCCCCAGCCCCGAGCCGAGCGGGCCGGCGCCCCCCGTCGCCTCTGGAGCGGTCACCTCCACATCACCCTCACCTGCGCCCGCGGGACCGGCACCGCGCTGGGTCAGGCACCCAGCTCGCACTGGGGGCCGGGGCTGCCCGCAGCCCCCTGCCACCCCACCGGGACTGCTGCCGGCTGTCCTGGGTCTCTGCACCCCGCAGTTAGGCACCCGGGGGTCCCGCGCTCCCCAAACCCCGTGGGGACATCTCAGGACTTTGTCCCCGCAGCGCTGGGGGGATGTGACCCGGTGCCGGTTTCAGCCCGGCCATTCTTAGCCCCTGCCCTTTCGAGGTTGTAACACGACCTGGCAGCGGCTGCGGGCTCCTCTGGCCACGGGATGCCCCCTCCCTGCACCCCGTCCAGCCGGTTTGGGGTGACGCACCGTGGCCAAGCAGGTCGGCTGCTGCGGGGCTGGGTGTGGGCAGCACAAACACGCCCTCGAGGTCCTGGGGGTGCAGCGGGGTGCTGCAACCCCCTCCTTAGGACACCCCCCGCAAACCAGCCCGTGGGGAGCTGGGGGTGCTGCCTGCATCCCTCGGTGTTGTGGTGGCACCGGGCAACCCCAGCGGGTTTCCTGCTGTCGGGCAGCACCCCAGGCATTGGGATGTGGGCAGGGCAGGGGAGGAAGCCGGCAACGTCACCACGCGTCACCCGGCATGGGGATGCCCTTACCGCAGCCGGATGCGGAGGGTGACTGCTGGGAGCCAGGTGAGTGATGGCCGCAGAAGCAGAGATCGCTCAGCTCGCTATTCCAGGGCCGAGACAGGAGTTGTGTCTTCTGTCACATCCTCCCAGTCTGGCCTTGGAGCTGGGCACCATCATGGTCAAAAAGGGAGACCCTATTTCTCCTCAGACTCTCGGTGACCTGATGTGCTGAGTTGTTTATCCTGCTCTTTTCCGGCAGCCTTAAGTGTTTCTGTGCCTGGACCACGGCAGCATGTCGACAGGTGAGTGATCCATCTCCCTGCATGCATTCCAGCTGCATCCGTCCCCTCAGTGTCCCCTGCATCCATTCCTTCTGCATCTCCCTGTCTCCCTTGTATCCTTTTCCTTGGTTGTCCCCTGCATCAATCCCCCCCTGGAATTAATCCCCTTTGTCCCCCCTGCACCCATCCCCTCTGCATGCCCCTGTCCCACTTTGGTCCCCCCTGCATCCATCCCCTTGTTCCCCCACCATCCACCCCCTCTGCATTCCCCTTCCCTCCCTGCCTCTGTCCCCTCTGTCCTCCCCTGCATTTGTCCCCATTACGTGCAGCCCTGGTCCTCTTTGCATTCCCCCCCTCCACGTGCCCCTGTGTCCTTGCCTCCCTTTCTTCTGTCCACCCCCTGTCCCTCCAGCCCCCCCACATGCCCCACATCCCATTGGTCCCTGCCAGACACTTGGCTCCATCCCCAGCTCTGGGGAGTGCTGGGTGCCAAGGAGCTGAAATTTCATCCAGCTGTAATCAGGAGATGGGAAAGTGGCCCCAGAGCAGCTCAAATTTATTTTTAGCTCTGCTTCCCCCTTCGGCATCCCACCCTGGCATCACCCCACACCACGGCTGGTGCAGATCCCACAGGTGGTGAGAACCCTGTGCCAGGGTGCTGGGCAGGGGACGGGGTGCTCAGTGCCACTTGCACGTCGGCCACCAAGGGACCAGGGACCGATGCTGGGGTCCAGGGACTGCCGGGGTTGTGCCAGGTGCTCGAGGTGGCCGTGCCAAGCCGAGCCTGCCATGGCCCCAGTTAGCCCAGCGGGGTGAGAAGCCGGCCACAGGGATGGATGAGGCCAGTCCCTGCCTGCAGTGGAGCCATGGACAATGAGCACCTCTGGGACACCACTTGGCACTGGAATTCCAGCCCCATGGCCGAGGTGCCATGGGGTGTTTGTGCTCAGATGTGGCCAGACATCCCAGCCTGCCCAGGTGACCAGGACACACGTCTGCTTCCCTCTCCATCTTCTCCCCAGGACTCTCCTGGATCGGTCCCCTCTATCCCCAGGGATGCCTGCCCTGGATTTGGCACCCCCTGGGGACACCTCACTCCCTGATGGACCTTTTGACTTTTGATAATTTTTTTTTTCTTTCTCTTTTCCAGAAAAGCTCAAGCAGCACAAAATCATCTTTGTGGTGGGTAAGTCTGTGTCCAGGTCCTGTCACTGGTGGGGTCAGGCCAGGCCTTTTCCCTGTACCTCTAGGCTGGAGAAACAGGGCTGGAGGCTGAGACTGGGCTATTCCCAGGCACTGTGGGATGGCCATGGCTCCAGCTTGGCTCCTCAAGGCCACATGGGGTATGCTGGGACCAGGAGGGCACCTCTGGCCAGGCATGGGGGGGCAGCATCTGGGGTGATGTGACAGTAAATCACTGGGGGTTGATGTGACAACAAATCCCTGGGAGGTAATGTGACAAAACCCTGGTGGTGATGCCTGGGTGCCATCAGGGTGTGGTGGCCACATGCCAATTCCCAGCAGCCCATGCCACCCCTAAGCACTTGGGCAACCTCAGGAGGAGCTCTGTCCATCCACTTGGTGCTGGGCTTGGGGACACCAACTGACATGTCACTGAGCTCTGAGGACTCCTGTGTGTCTGTGCTGCTGCTCCCATGTAGCCCTCCTTCTCCTCACCCATGGCTTGGGGCACACATGTGCCTTGCAGGTGGCCCTGGCTCGGGCAAAGGGACACAGTGTGAGAAGATCGTGCAGAAGTATGGCTACACCCACCTGTCCACGGGGGACCTGCTGCGGGCAGAGGTCAGCTCGGGCTCGGAGCGGGGCAAGAAGCTGCAGGCCATCATGGAGAAGGGAGAGCTGGTGCCCCTGGTGAGTCCCTAACAGCCACCAGCTGCCACATGGGGTGTGCAGGGGTGTCAGTGGGGCCACCACAGTAATGGTTGAACATGGCTCAGGCATTTCTGGCCCTGCCATCCCAGGGCGGGGTTTGCAGCAGGGATGCTGCAGGGACCCAGGGATGCTGGGTGGGAGTCCTGTTGTCCCATATCAGCTGTAGCAGCTCTGTCCTTCCCCCTCCAGGACACGGTGCTGGACATGCTGCGGGATGCCATGGTGGCCAAAGCAGACGTGTCCAAGGGCTTCCTGATCGACGGATACCCCCGCGAGGTGAAGCAGGGAGAGGAGTTTGAAAAGAAGGTGAGCACTGGTGCTGTGCTGTGCTGTACTGGGCCGTGCCACACACCAGCTTAGCACAGGACTCAATCCAGCAGCAGCCTGGCCTCCCCATCCCAGCAGAAATCACATCCCAGAAGGGTCTAAACTGGGCAGCAGGTCCCCCTGCCTCGGGGACAGCCTGTGCCCAGAGCACAGTGGGAGGGACCATGGTGTCCTCAGGCTGACAGAGCGTGACAACAGTGCTGACATGATGGTGGTGGCAGAGAGCCAGGGCTTGGCTGCAGTGTTCCTTTGCCTTCCTCTACATGGCCCTAGAGGCCACTGGAAGAGTGTCCTGGTGCTCCCAAACCAAAGCAGTGGGAGGCAGGAGATGGTGTGGGGACATCTCTGTGTCCTGCTGGTCCCCAGACCCATGTGGAGAGGGGCAGAGGGTAGTGTGGGGACATCTGTGACCCTCATGCTGACCACCACCACCCCCCAAACCAAACCAGACCAGACCCACACCAGCTCAGTGTGGTGACAGCCACATCCCCTCTGTGCACAGATCGCGCCCCCCACGCTGCTGCTCTACGTGGATGCGGGGAAGGACACAATGGTGAAACGCCTGCTGAAGCGAGGAGAGACCAGTGGGAGGGTGGATGACAATGAGGAGACCATCAAGAAGCGTCTGGAGACCTACTACAAGGCCACTGAGCCTGTCATTGCCTTCTACAAGAGCAGAGGCATCGTCCGCCAGGTAAGGGAATGCGGCTGATGCCAGCACCCCCAGCCCCACAGCCTGGGGCTTGTGTCCCAGGGGAGGGAAGTGGTGCATGGGGACGATGAGGGAAGCAGGAAAAATCAATCCTGCCTAGTTTGGGGTGGGCCTGACCCCCCTCATTCCCAACACGACCTCCTCCAAGGATGGCCTGCACTCCTTTGCCCTAAATGAGCCCTGGTCTCTTCACCCATGGCCAAAATGCATCCTTGGGAGAGTTCCAGTTGCTCTCGGATGAGAGCCCTCGGGCAAGTCCCCCAGCTATCCCCTCTGTACCCAGCTCAACGCCGAGGGCTCTGTGGAGGAGGTTTTCCAGCAGGTCTGCACCCACCTGGACTGCCTGTAACCGAACCCCCGGCCCCAATTCCCCCAGTGCACTCCAGCAGAGACAGCGGAAGCGGCTTTATCCTGTTTTCGTGGACGGAGCCGTGCGGAGGAAATTTCAAGGACATTGTGTTTGGCTCTTTCCCGTCTCTCCCCAGTAAAGTTCACTTTAATGAATCCAGACTTTATCTTTTTCTTCTGTCGCAGGAAATGAGTTTTTCTTTCCAGCGTTTTTTTTTTTTTTTTTCCCTCTCTGTCCTCCCCCCAGCCCCTCTGGAGCTGATTAAGGGCAGGAAGCGGGTGTTTATCCCGCCGGGGCAGCGGGATGCTGCGCTCAGAGGAAGGGAGGGAGCATCCCGGCCGCTCGCCCCGGCTTCCCAATCCGTGGCCTGCAGGGAGCCTGCGCCGGCATCCTCCAGCCAGTCCTGGCCGCCCGCGTTCTGTTCCGATTGCCGAAGCCCCTCGTGCTCTGGGTGTGTGTCCGGACACACAGGCAGCGTCTGAGCCGTGTCCTGCACACGCGTCTCAGCTCTCCCACTGCCTGCCAGGGGCTGGAGGCGACCGGATTTGGGATGGGGATTTCCACCACTTTCATGCCTCGGCATTTCTTTGTTTCTGTTGGCTGTCAGGGTTTTTTGGGGTACGCAGTGGCTGCGCTGTGATGGTTTGTAGTGGCACGATGCCCTGGAGTGGGGTGTTCCCTGTCCTGCTGTGCCTGGACACTCACTGCTCAGCCCCTACCCCAGGGGATAAGGAATGCACTGGGGACACCCAGATGAGCCCAGCCACCAGGCTGGTTGTTCTCCTGGCTGGGGGACTGGGTGGGTGCCCTCATGGTGGTGAGTCACAGGACCCCAGCAGACGGGCAGTTGTGGGTGCTGGTGTGGGGGACGGGGGATGTGGGGGCTCCCCAACACCCACAGAACCACACAGGCACAATGCCATAGGAGAGGGGCTGCAGTGGAGCTTGGGGACAGGGTTTACCCAGCCACAGAGAGGGCAGGAGGCAGCAGAGCTGCAACCCCGACAGGGCCCCCCACCACTTACTTTTGGGCTGCTGGGAGCTGGGCACGGAGCCAGGGGCTGGGAGGGCAGGAGGGGCGGCAGCGCTGGGGTCAGCCAAGGCCACGAGGCCAAGGAGTCAGAGTGGAGAAAGGAAGCCAGCAGGGAAAAAACAAAACTCCCCAAGACGAAAACCCAAACTCACCAGTCAGCCCGACGTCAGCCCCGTGCTCCGGGGCCACGAGGCACTGGTAGAGCTGGGGCACTGCGGGGAGGCAGGCGGGCAGGAAGGATGCAGCCATCCGGCCGGGGCTGGGACACTGCCAGCACCAGGATCCAGGGCTGGGGCTGGCGAGTGCTTGCCTCATGCTGGTGGAACAAGGGGCAGAGGGGTCGTGAGGTTTGGGACACCACGGCCTAAAAGTGGGGAGGGGGAGACACATCTCTCTTGTGCCTCCAGCCCTGTGAGGGTGTGCTGTGAGTGTGCCTCAGTTTCCCCAGGTGGTTACTTGGGCAGGGAGTGGGACAGGGACCCTGCCCTGCTCCTCAGTATGGCCCTGAGTGCTTGGTGTTGAGGTTTAGATGCTCTTCCTCTGGTTTGAAATCTCAAGGCCATCCCATACGCTGCGAGGGGGGAAGATGCTGTGCTGAATGGGGTGCAGGGAGCTGCACGTGTGGCCACCCCACAGCCACGGCCACCCTCCTTCTGTCACACTGTGGCTGCCATCATCTCAGTGTCTATTGGTCGTTGTCCTGTGGTGTCACCGCGGGGAGAATGGTGCCAGGGACCCAGAGGATCCCGTGCCGGGTCCCGGTCCCCATCCCCGGGTGAGCACCCGTCCCCGCGGTCCCCAGGAGATGGCAGTGCTCTGTCATGGGACATGGTTGCTGCTCACCCCGGGTCACAGACATCTCCGGGGACATCCTGGCTGCTGGGGACAGGCGTCGCTGACTTCCCTGGCACGTTTCCATTCTGTCCCCATGCCCGTGAACCATGAATCGACCCCAGCCCCGGGGACCTGCGCCCACCCCGGCGTGAGGGTCCCAGCCCCACTGATAGCTGTGTGAGGGCTCTCACCTTGGCCAGCAGAGGTGTGGGGAGGAACGGGGCAGGAGTGCAGAAGGGGGTCCCTGGTGCCCCTTTGGCCGTGCTCAGCTGTGACCCCCTGCCCGTGACTCCCGAATCCAGGCCCCTTGTCCCAAAGGATCTCCAAGCCCACCTGCCGGGCGGGGGTGTCCGGGCAGCCCCAGCTGTGACCTGGCCGAGGGTACAGGCAAGGCAGGCAGCGGTGCTCGGGGGCTTCCACCTGCCCGCCAGACTGCATGGGGCAGCCACCAGGCTGAGACATGTGCCCCTGCCAGGTGCTGGCTGGGAGAGTGGGGCTGAATGTCGGGGCAGCCCTTCCCCATCGCCTGCGGCCGCTCCCCATCCCCATCACTGGAGCAGTAATTACTCCCCATCGGGAGTAATTTGGGTGTCCCCAGAACACAGAACCCCGTGTCCAACCTTCTGCTCACTAGTGCCAGCCCTGGGAGGCCCTGGGGGTACCAGTGCCCTCCCCGTGCACCTCCGGAGGCGCAGCCCCGCACGGCTCTGTAGGGAAACTGAGGCACGGCGCCTCCGGGGGAGGGGGGTCCATCCTCTCCGCCCCCCCGGCCCCGCCGGCCCGGCCCCAGCGCCGCCAGCGGCATTTCCTCCGCCGCGGACCCTCCTCCGAAGGGAGTCGGTTTCCTGCCGCTGCCGCCGCCCGCACTCGGCGCTGGCTCCCGGGGAGCGGCCGCAGGCGGACATGGGCCCCCGCTCCGTCCCGCTCCTGCCGCTGCTCCTGGCGCTGCTCGGCCGCCCGGGTGAGTGGGGACGGGGGGCACCAGGGAACCGGAGCCCCGGGATGAGACCCGCGGGATGGGACAGCGGGACGGGACCCCCGGGACGGGACAGCCGCCGCGGCGGGAGCGCCGGTGACTCCGGATCGGTGGCCAAAGGGGTCCCGGCCGTGCCCGCACAGGCAGAGATTGTCACCGCCGGGAACCCCCGGGAGAGGAGGTTTTGGGAGCAGCGTCCATGTGGGAAGGGACAAACCCACCCCGATTCCCGCAACACAGCGCAGCCCTGCCACTCCCTGGGACCCCCGAAATCCCGGCTGCGTCACTGGGGCGTGGGAAGTGTTGAAGACTCCGTGGCTGAGTCCTGACCTAGACGGTGGCACACGGGGGGTCTGGGGTGGCTTTGGTTCCCGTCACCTCGGAGTATGGAGGGGTTGACCAGGAGATGGGGACAAGAAAACCCTTAAAGCCTCATGTGGGATGTGGGGATGAAACTAGGGGTGAGAAATGGGAAAAAAACCTTAAAGCCTCAAATGGGAGTTGGGGGCTTAGACACCTCCGGAGCAGTTGGAGCCACCCCGAGATCCCTGCAAAGCCACAGAGGGAATTTCAGGGAGGGACGCCAGTGCTGGTGGGCCTGGGGGACAGGGAGCTGGGGGACTTGGGGACATTGCCTGCTGGCAGGGGGAAGGGAACTGGGGAGGCAGCAGCTGCCCAGAAAGGCTGGGGCCAGGAGCACTGAGTGTCCCAGCTGGGTTGGTCCCTCCTGGTCACCTCGGGGCCAGTGCTCATGGGTGGTGCTGGGGTGGTCCTGCTGCCAGGCTCGATGCCCACTCTTATGTCACAACCCTGTCTGGTGGCTGTGGCAGACAGTCCCTGTCCAGTGAGGCTGTGCCGTGGGGGCTGTGTCCCCTACATTTGTGCCATACAGTTTCCATCCTTGTAGATGTACAGTAAGTCCCGTGTCCTGTGTAACTGTGAGGCTGGTGCCCATCCTATAGCTGTGCCACAGTCCCTGCCCTAGGGCAGCGCCGTGGTGTCCCTGTCCTGTGTAGATGTGCAGTAAGGTCTGTGTCCTCTGTCGCTTTCTTGTACAGTCCCCATCCTCTAACCATGCCATATGCTCCACATCCTGTGGTGCTGTGCCACAGAGGCCTTGTCCTCCATTTGTGGTGTATAGTCCCTACACCACACAGCTGTGCCATCTGGTCCTCATCCTACACAGGTGTGCAATGTCACCTGTGTCCTGTGTAGCAGTGCCGTGTGTCCATGACCTTTATATTCATCCCCAACAGTCTCCACCCTATATGGCTGTGCCATACATGCCCTAACAGGTCTGTGCTGTATGGGCTGAGTCCTACATAGCTGTGCCATATGGTCCCCACCCTGAATGTGTGTTTCTATGGTCCCTGTCCTATTTATCTGTGCTGTATGATCCCCATCCAACGTAGCTGTGGCACACAGTCCCTGAGCTCTCTAATGGAGCTGTACGGTCCCTATTGCATGTGTCTGTACGATCCCTGTCCTGTGTCACTCTGCCACACAAACAGACCGTCTCCTCTGGCCATACCACCCCTGAGGTGTGCAGCTGTGCTATGTGGACCCCATCCTGTATGACTGTGCCATGTTGTCACTGTCCTGTGTAGTTGTGCCATGTGGTCCCCATCCTGAGTGTCTGTGCTATGTGCTCCCTGTCCTGTGTAGCTGTGACACATGGTCCCCATCCTGCCCACCTGTGCTACCCACCACATCCCGTCCAGTTGCTGCTTCTTCCCCACAGGAACCTCTGGGGCTGGGAGCCCACAGTGGGCACAGTGCCATGGAACTGAGTGCCCCATAGCAGTGGGCACAGTGCTGTGGGACTGGGATGTCCGTGGTGGGTGCAGTGCTGTGGGACTGGGGTGCTCTTGGTGGGTGCAGTGTCAGGGTGTCTCACAGACACAGCCAGAATCCAGAGGGGGCACAGGGAAGGAGCTGTGCCCGTTGGCAGGGGCCAGCAGTGCTCCCCATGGGGTGAGCATGGTGCTGGGTCTGTCACAGGTGTCTCACAGAATCCAGAGGGGGCGACTTTGCCCCCCCATTGAGGGGGAACAGGGAAGGAGCTGTGCCCATTGGCAGGGGCCAGCAGTGCTCCCCATGGGGTGAGCATGGTGCTGGGTTGCTCCTCCCATCTCTGAGGAGAGGCTTCTTGGCACCTAGAGAGTGGCAGGAATTGTGTGGCTTGTGTCAGGCCCAAAGCCTAGACCCATCCATCCCATCATCTGCCCCAATGCCACCTCAGCATGGTCCAACAGCCAGGGGTGGCTCAGAGGATGACAATTCCCTCTCAGTGCAGGATCCATCCCCATTCC